GCCGTGCGCTTCCTGGCAGTCCATCTTGCACAAGAAATCTTCTTTGCAGGTACGTGCATGATGAGGGAGGGGCATAGCTGCAAGACTTCGCATTCAATTCCATTTGACCCGTAGAGTAGAGCGATGTAGAGCGTGAGCCCCAGATCTCAAGAATTACCCTCGATTCTGTGTTTCTCTTTCTCCACTTATCAGCACAACCCCCAAAGGCTTATGGGGTTTGGGGATTGCAATCTTGTGAGAGCTTTGGTATTTCCTCTTTCCAATGATGGCTCAGTAGAACCACACCTGGAAGCAGCATGTTGAGGTTTAGGGTCCCTTGTCTGGAGCTTAGGGTGGCGAGCTTGCTTTGTTTGCAGAAAGGCACCCAGAAGAAGACAAACAAGGAGCAATAAACATAAGAGGAAGTAGCACAAGAAGAAATATTAAAACTATAATGATGATAATCATAATAATAAGAAGAATAATAAGAAGTAGCAGCAGTAGTAGCAGTAGTAGTAGTAGCAGCAGCAGTAGTAGTAGCAGCAGTAGTAGTAGTAGTAGTAGGAGTAGGAGTAGTAGTGCCGGTGGTGGTGGTGGTGGTGGTGGTGGTGGTGGTATACTATATCCTTGGGGAAGAAGTGACCTGAAACATCTCCACATGGAACCTGGCAAAAGAAGCTGTCCTTGAGTTCTCCAAGTCCAGCCGCGCCCCGGCTGCGATGAGGGCGGCTGCGCCCTGTTGAAGGGTTTAGGGTCCAGGCTTGGGGTTCATACTTCAGTGTTTGTGGATTAAGGTTTGGGGGTCAGGTTTAGGGTTAAGGCTTGCTCTCCGAAGGGTAAGGCGGTTGACCAACTGAAGGTTGCAGCGACATTTATGTGTACATGGTGTGTTTCTTTGCGTTTTGATATGCCGATCCAGTACTAACCCGTTTTCTGGTAGAATACAGTGGTATACGTAAATATGCATGCACATATGTATCTGAACCTATGCATATACATGTAGATGAAATCAATGCTGCAGTGCTCTCATCGCTCCTTGCATGAGCTGCGGAGACAAGCGCAGGGCTTTAGATAGCTGTCGGCACGTGTTGATGGCTGTGCTTTCACGGCTTTGCAATCTCGCCTCGTACTGGCCATTGTGCAAAGCCACCATCAAAGGTGTCCCCCTGGTCCAGTCGTAGGCCTGCTTTGCCCCAATGGACCTCCATCCGGATTCGTACTGAGCCGCCTGTGCCTGCAGATTTTGTGTCTAAAGGCTTACAATCGGAGTAACTGCGCATGTGGCTGCGGAATCTTTGAGACTTGTACCCCCTTGGGTGGTGAAACATCTAGGCCTGCAGAATCCGGACGTGCAGCTGGCTTCTATATCCCTGCTGATAGTTGACGTCGGCGCGCATGTTGATCAGATGAGCAACCATGGCCGCACTGCCTGGACCAGGACAGGATTTTCAAGGTCAGGGCTACAGGGCAAAGCTCCCATCTTGACCTTGATCTAAAACTGCGCAAGGCGTTCTAAATGGAACTCATCTGCCCAGACGCCTCCGCGGAACCACATTGCATTAATGAGGGTCCCTCTGATGTCCATGGCGCACTCTGACTGGGCAAAGGCTGCATCCACGCAAGCTAATGAACCCGAATTGCATGCGAGCTCAAGTGCATTGAAGCCCACTTCGGTTTGTTCGTAAGGGCTGCCACGCGCTTCGCAAAGAATCTTGACCCCCTCCGCATTCTGGCCAAAGCAGGCGCCGACCACTGGCTTGATGATCGTTCCGTCGCACTGAGCTCCCGCAGACAACAGCAGCTTCAACACCTCATTCTGGCCGAAAAAGGAGGCGATGCCTAGGACTGCTCTTCCAGGTTCAACGCCGAGGACGTTGTGCGCCTTCCCGGTCATGTGGCAAGGATTTGCCCGCTGCTCCAGCAAACCTTCCACCACCATCGGATCCTCACAGGCTCAAACAAGGGCTGCCGCCTGCAGTCTACCTGCCCTCACTCTGATCTCTGTGATGTGCACTGGCAAGAAGCCAAGGCGCCCCAAGGACCGCGGCATAGCACAGGGGAGACCACCCCACCTCATCGTCTTCGTTGACATGCGTGAAGCCGTTCTGGTAGAGGAACCTTCACAAATGCTGGGCGGCTAGTCTCCAAACCTCGTGTTCACCTGTGCCCTGTCCGAGCCAGGGCCATTGCGTTTCAAACACTCCCCTGTCGGTTTCCATCGAGTTATTGAGTCTCACGATTGGTGTTTCCACAGACGCGGGAATGACACCTCATAGTCCTCAACTCCCTTGACGCCCTGCCGACCTTCTGTCCTGCCAATCCTTGATTGCCTAAGATGTTGCGCCCTGAGGCAGTTGTGCGCACACGGGTAGTAGGTTTGGGGCTTGCATTGTTATGCACGTCAGGATGAACGTGTGCGTCTTAATTTCTTATACGGTTGGCATACACATTCCTGCTTCCGCTTGCGTCTGTATTCTGTTGTGCACGTTACTGGCTTGTTTAACTCGGACGCATGTGTGCAGTGACGGCACTGTCTGCAGTCAGCGATATGTTGAATATTGTTGAATTAAATACCAAAGAGCCTTTGAGGAGCTGGACACATGAGGACATCCTGACGAACAGCATGGTTAAACGCCAGGGAGCTTCTTCACGGCAATGCTTTTTGCATCCGCTTCCTGGCAATCCGCATAATGACCTGGGCTTCTTTCAAGGGTTTTGGCTTTAGAGACTAGCCCCATTGGTGCGACTTAATCACTGAGCGCTACTAGGAGGGACCCTTAATGGGAATTCGACGCCTAGATAATGATTACCTAGGATTCCTCATTTGGGGCCCCTCCTGTCACGCTTTGATTCTCTGCACGCTGCACCCTGAACCCGTCATAATTACTATCAGCCACTGTTCTGACCAACGCTTATTAATACAGTTATCAGTATTATGTAGTATTATAATGAAACCCTAAACCCTAAACCCTAAAGTGCGGCTTAAGGCAGCCCAGCCGCCCGGGCCACCCGGGACAAAGTCGAAGCAAGGCTCAGCAGCAAGGCCCCGAAGTTGAAGCTCTTGGAGGTTCCTTGCCATGTGGTTTAGGGTTTAGGGTTTAGGGTTTAGGGGTGGAATGGTGCAGCTTGGCGGTTCCATTTTATTTTGGCTTTAATCTAGAGGGAGAAAATGGCGATAAACTTGAATTAAGCTTACTTGAACTAGACTGCAGGCTAGTAAGATAAGGTCCAACATGACTTATTTCGACTAAAAGCCTGATCTCTAGATCGAAATTCAACTTGTCGAAACTCGCGGAAATGTAGTTGAACTGAACAGAGCGTTTGTGCTACCGTCTAAATGAAGCAGTGTTTAATGTGTACCCAAGATACGTGCGTCTAAATGAAACTCAATGAGTCTTATTTCAAAAATGACGTTAGCTCAACGTACACAAAAGAAGTTTTAGCTAAACTGATATAGCAGAAAAAAATATTTCAACAGTTAAACGAAATCCGGTAAGTTCAAATACGCTTTAGCGAGAGTTCGGTGACTGAACAAGTTGTCAAATATTGATCAAAAGCACCAGAAATTCTTGTATTCAATTGAAAACCGAACTCAACTGCGGCGTGCTTGCTTAACTTTTTAAAATTCCATCAAACTAGATCAAGACCAATTTAACCTAGGTATAATTCAGAAACTGAAGTTGCGTTCCATGTCACACCTGAAACGAAAGCTAGCTGAAAATCACGAGCATCTGATATGCGCAAACACCATTACAAACCAAACTAAGCGCATGAAATCAAGTGGAACTACATTAATCCTTTGTATGTAAAGCTAACTAACCAAACCACATTGAATTGCAGCCACACATTTTACCGCTACAATTGTAACAGTAAATGGCGGGCATCTCAAGCATCTCAAATTATGTTGAATTGGGTTGTCATGTAACTTAATCATCAGCGAATGAGTTCTTAGGATAGTCACGTCATTTTAACAGAAGAAAACGACCTGCGTTTTTCAATCTATGGAAGCATGTATGTCTACCGCCTGGAGAAAACTATTCAGGTTCGGCTTCTGTGTTTGGATCCTTAAATATATCCACACAGCACACATCACCCATCAAGGTTGACTTCTTTCCTTGAGCAAGCAAGACATGCAATTCCACTCCTTCCTCTTCGCAAAGAGGAAAGAACAGGTCTAACAGTTTGAGCCGGAGCGGATCGAAGTTGATACTCATAGGCCAGCCGGAAGGGGTGTCAAGATGGCATGAACATCCAATTCAATCGCAGGATAACTCGTAAACCGAGGCCGGCATTAATTAGATCTGAAAGACAAATTACACAAGGTTCAATGTGCTTTGTATGTGTCTAGATTTGATTAACGCAACACGAAGTGGAAATTGAATCCGGTTTGAATATGTTTTAACCTGCTGAAACTTAAGATACAATGATTGGCAACCATAGCTTCTAAGCGTCCAACAAACCAAAAAACAAAGAACATGTGTTTAACAAACGGTTTCAACAACAAACCACAGCTTACCTTTGGGGATTGGGGTTCAGGGTTTAAGGTGCTTCGGGCTGGGCTTGGCCTGGGCTGGGCCATATACGCATATGCATATGCATGTATGTATCCATCTCAGTGCATATATATATATATATACATGTATATATATATACACATATTTTTGCATACCTATATATATATATATACACCTACATATATATATAAATAAATAAATAAATAAATGTAGCAGCAAGCTATCGGCGTTTGGTCATTGCAAACAACAGCCCAACAAGCTGCTAAGTAGCTGGCCAGGCATCAGCTGGGCTCGGTAGCCAGGCAAGTCCTGGTTTTTCAAGCACTCCAGGATACGGCGCTTCAACGCTGCCTGAAAAATAGGGCTCAGGCGATCACGGTCCTCCAGGGCGCTTCAGATGCAGGTTTAAGCTTTTCGGCTTCAGAGCTGAAGGGTCCAGGATGTAAGGGGTATGAGGGTTGAGTGCCCAGCACAGTCCTCGCTTACGGCGAACATGCCTTCGCCAACCGAACCGCCGTACGACCAGGCAGCGGATGCCACCAACTCCAACTGCGTCGCACTCCTGGGTTGTCGCTCCGAAAACTAGAAGAAGTAGTAGTAGTAGTAGAAGAAGTAGTAGTAGCAGGAATAGGAGTAGTAGTAGTAGCAGTAGTAGTAGTAGTAGTAGTCGTCGTAGTAGTAGTAATAGTAGTAGTAGTAGTAGTAGTAGTAGTAGTAGTAGTAGTAGTAGTAGTACTATAACGCTGGGACTACTTGTAGTAGTAGTCGTCGTCGTCGTCGTAATACTAAT